TGAAAATGACGTTGAATCACATTTAAGACTAAATAAGGACACACTTATGAATTCCCTATGGAAACTGAATGTGGTAGACATAGAAGTAACTCTGTTACATGTCTGTCAAATGGTAATATTCCATCATTCTGTGATTCTCACCTTTCCAGCTTTCAATTTCTTCTTGCACCTCTGTCGCAGTACTGGATTACTCATGGCATGATCAGTATATAGGACTGGACCGTACCAAACAGGATTAAACAAGAAAAAGTTAAAATCTCAACTATTATACTGCGTCCAAACATACCCTTATTGTAATATCAAACTTATTGACGTGTTTACAGGTTCTACAAGAAAACAATGTAAGGAAGGAAGAACTTAAAAAGCGTGCAGTGGCTTTGAGACTTCTTGGAAAAGTATTTCAGGTACATGTGTGTCATCTGGTAGACTGATGAATAATTTGCCTACACATATGGTTTGTATTTCCCTTTCTTCTTCTTCAATTTTTTTATTACATAATTAAAAATTGGTGCTTTGTATTCATTGTGAAAAGCATACACAAAATGCTGGAACATCGAAAAAGAAGAATGTATTAGAGGATTCTGATGAGAGCAGTGATGATAGTAGCGATGAAGAAGATACACCTAGAACACTAAATTATCGGGCTCCTTTATTTACGCAGGTAAATCTTATCTCTTTGTTGTTGCACATGTGCAGTGTAGCGACTATTATAGGCTCGTTATAATATACTTTCTAAAAAAGTAAGTTTGACTGACTTTTAATTACAGACAAACGTACTTCGCTTTAACAATTTGTTGTATTCCTCTGTGGCAGGGCATTGGCAGGCTCTTCAGGTGTCTGTGTAACCCAGCATTTGATGTAGATGATGAAGAAATTGTCTACAAAGGAAGATGAGTACAAGAAAATCATTTGTAAGAACTGGAATTTAGTTTGTACTTTTAGCTCATCACATTTTCTATTGGCACTTTGGCAAACATTTGCCAGAAATGTCAATAAAACATTGCATTCAGGTGAGCAAATCTTTCCTTTTTCCACCAACAGATAGATCTCCATTCTCTCTAATATCTGCATATCAGGAACTAAGACAATACCACAACTCAATGTCTTCTTTATTCTACTAATTTCTCGTGTTAGGAGGCATGTTTGATGTGGATAATTTGAAAATAAATTTTGTGAAGAGTGAGTTCTTTCAGAGAATTTATGATTTTAAAAATAGGAAAAATTTATAGGTCTGCGTGCACATTTATTTTATTGGAAGAATATATGATTAGAAATGAGTTTGAAAATAAAAAAGAAAAAAGTCATTTTAAAGAATTTATACCAAATAGGAGCTTAACGTGTAAACAATAAACTGTGCAACTCAACATGAGAACATAAAATAAGACAATTCAAAAGCAGTTTATAGATTCAGGAGTTTGTTAAGTTACATAGAAAATTGAGGTCTCTAAACAACAAAACAAACAAACAATTTTATTTTTGTATTTCAACTATTGGCAAAGATAACCAGATGCATTTCTCGGTTGTCGAAGAAAAATATACACAAGGCCAAACTTCTCTCATCACCCTCCAAATGGAAACTCGAGATTTTCCACGAATCTCAACTCAATGAGCTAAAGGTAGTGAACTGGCTGCACGGTGTGCTTGGACAGCACATGCACAATGCACAGACGTTAAATTCAGGCAGCCACTTATAATCAGTGAATGTCGACCGGAGCATGTATGAAGTGCAGGAAACGAATCACATAATAGCTGAACTGCCGGAGGTGTCAAGGCTGTGCACTGGCTGATGTTCAGATTCGTAAGCCCTTCCTCCTTGTATCCCTTTTTCACAGATTCCCACACCTCGTGCTTCTTCTTTGCTCGACTCTGTGCCAGGGAATACATCGCTCTATCCGTGATATTCCGGCAATAGTATAAGCCAAGGGATCTTAGGTGAAGGCAATGGTTTGCCAATGCAATTACACTCTCATCTGAAATAATGTCCCTCAGTTAGAACACAAATCCCACGAAAAAAAAAAAAAAAGAAAGGAAGGAAATAATCAGAAATATATCAACAGTTCATGTTAAATGAACAAAGAGAAGACGTTCCAAAACTCTACGAGTGTGTTTGATTGATATGGAAAATATCACCTAGAAAAGAAAATATTTTCCATCTTTTATGGAAAATAAAAATCTCCCTTACCCAAGGAAAATGTTTTCCTTAAAAACAAGGAAAATTAGGCATATTTTCAAAAGTTGGAAAATATTTTCCATGGAAAAAAA